TCTCTCTCTCTCTCTCTCTCTCTCTCTCTCTCTCTCTCTCTCTCTCTCTCTCTCTCTCTCTCTCTCTCTCTCTCTCTCTCTCTCTCTCTCACAGTAACAGTTCTGCTGCGTCACCTCCCTCCCCCCCCTCCATAGAACGCATGGTCATTATCCCTTGTCCAGGCTGAAAGTTGCCCCTGATATAGGTATAGTGACTGCGGGGGACAATGGCAACTTTCACCAAAGGCGTTTCTCTTGCCGCATTAGCGATGCCCCCCCCCCCTGCATGAATGGCAGAGAATCTGTGTTGCATACTGATTGCACCTGTTGGGCGTAATTACACCATCACTGTTCAACTTGCTGCTCTGCACACATTATTTGTTGCTAGCTCATGATTGCAGATAGAGCGAAGTTTCTTCCAATTTGGTATATCCTCTTATCTTCTTCTTCGCTTTCATGTCATGTAGTATAGGTTATCTTTCCTATCTGTCGAAACAAAACTCGTGATTGCACATAGAGCGAAGTTTCTTGTAATTTGGTATATCTTCCTCTTCTCTTCTTCCGCGCTTTCAATCGTCTATGTGCGGAAGAAGAGATTAATCGGTCATCTTTCCTGTCTGTGATACTCCCTCGTCTACGTTTGATAGAGAGTTCAATCGTAACTTCACTGTGTTCTTTTTTTCTTTCTCTCTCTTTCTTAAACCACCAGTACATGCCAGCCATCGGCTGCGGGCCTCCTTTTGGGGGGCCGCCAGCCGTCGATTTATTTTGTCGACGGTGCGCGAGCCTCCTATTTTTTTTTTTTTTTTTTATAGGAGAGGTGAAATCAGACTCTCAACTCGGCCTCCATTTTTTTTTGGGCCGCCGTGTACGGAGGCCCTGAAAAAAAGGGCTCTCAGCCGTTTGAACGCTTTTTAAGTGTTCAAACAAGGTGCTCCTGAGAGATTCATGCGTTTCTTTTTTTTTTGCTGTGTTCTGTTTTTTTGCAGAGAGTGAACCAACTGATGAGCCCGAAGAAGGGGAGGAGGGTCCGCGCTTGCGGTGGGAGACCAGGCTGATTCTTGGGCCCGGAGGGAAGGCTTGGCACCCTGCCAATCGCAAAGTCAAGGTCCGCGTTTACGTCAGAGAGCTGGGGCTGTCAGCAGCCGCTAGGGAACGTCTGCTTGCACTGGCGGGACCTCGGTACAATACCAACAAAGACGAGCTGACGATCGTGAGCGAGAGGTGGGTTGCATCATACCCTCTCCTGTTCTTTTTTTTTGGAAAAGCGAAAAAAAAAAAAAAAAAGGACCATTTCAGACATTTCTTGGTTGATGCATGTCATCCTTGTGCAGGGCCCCATGCTAATCCTCTCTGTATCGTGCCAATCCTTTTAACTGACGTCCCAAAGTACCCGTTCTCCTGTTTTTTCTGAACGTGATAGTGTCATAAATAATAATGGCAATAAATCCTTTCGACATCTCCTTTCTTTCATGTCTGTCTGTTTGTCTGTTTGTTTGTTTGTTTGTTTGTTTGTTTGTTTGTTTGTTTGTTTGTTTATTTTGTTTGTTTGACTGCAATCAATAAAATTTTCTCTTTATTTGTTTTTTCTGTGTGTTTGGAATTTTGGATCCGTAAGGAGAAAATGGGCTCCCCTACTCCGGTGTGAGTCAGCCATTTCTCGATTATGCGTGCCATCCTTGCGCAGGGGCTATGCTAGTCTTCAGTGTATCGTTCCAATCTGCTTATTATTGGATTGTCCCCCAAGGACCTCGGGCACGGATTAGGATCCACTTATATGTGTTTAATAACTTTATCCCCCCCCCCCCCTTTTTGGCCATGTGATTTCGTGCGATGGGGTTGTGTTTGTAGCGCAGGCACAGTTGGGGTGAACTGATTTCAGCAGCACAAAGATGACACACGAATTGAGAAATGATGGTCTAACCGTCTAAGTGTAAATCGGTTTGCCTAGCGATGATGTTCATGCATGGAGAGCACGGACCTGGCCGGGTTTGTGCTTTCATCGCACAAAGATGGAAGCGGAGGCGCCTGAACCTTGCATGGAGCAAGGGGTATGAAAAAAACTAAGGTCCGAACCGCACGGGTGGCACGTTTATGAATGCAATCGGCATAAGATCAAGGACACCTGCTGCCACAGACAATACAGAGACATAAACAGGGCACAACCGCTGTTGAATTGCAGCTTTGTTGCTTTTGCACTAGAAGGCTAGTGTATGGAGCTTGATGTGGAAGCGTGCTGATTTAAAGTTCTTGACGATGGAATTGAATGATGTGATTGGCTATTGTGAGGAATGAGCCCTCAAGAAGGGGCCTTGCCATGATGTACATGTTCTGGGCTAAGGCCCCAGCAAGCCTCATGCCCGCCCTAAGTGAAGGCGGGCCAGCAAATCAACAAGAGCCCTCTGTGCATACATTTCACGAAGTGGGGTCCATACAGTTGCAGCACGCCAGTTGGTTGGAGTGCACCGAGTCTCGGATTTCAGCAAATGCTGAAAACCCAGGGCCTCTGAGTTAGTTAGGCCCTGGGTACTTGAACGTGAGGCCGACAATGCACGCTGGGTACAGAGGCCAAAAATGCCAAAGGGAAATCGGCCCACTATATCTGAATCTGGCCGCAGGCCTTGAGGAAAGAGGTGCAACTGCATCCCCCTGGGCCTCAACTGTATCGGCCTGGGTTCAGCCCCTGGTTCCCGGTCGCAGGCTGAAGGGAGGCCGCCCACACGCTGAAATGGCATATAGGCAAGCAGGGTGAGTGGGCAGGGATCTTGGCCAATGCGGGCATTGCGGGCACGCTGCGCGGATGCATGTGTGCTGCGCTGTGCAGAGCTGCGCTGCGCTAAGGTGAAGCAGGCTAGCGCTAGGCGGGAGGGCGCTGCTTGCATACAAGGCACTGGCGGCCATAGCCGGGCCGCATGAGGGTGCAGGAGAGGTGAAGGGCGATCTTCGGAGGTGAAGGGCGCTGTGTGGGTACAAGGGAGAGTGTGGGTGAAGAGGACACGTACCTGGTGGAGGTGGAGGTCGGCATTGGTGTTGACATCATCACTCGCTGGTAGTCAAGTTGTCTGGTTGCTTTCATAGCTGTAGTTGTAGGCTTAGTCTGTAGAGTAGATAGGGTGCCTGGCGCCATTCATAAGAGAGAGCTACATTGGGTTATGCTGTTGGTGTTGCCCTGTTGGGCATGGACATTGACTCACGATTCTTCTGTATCATTCTCAATTGGATGGTTACTTGGTTCCATTGTGCTATCTGCTCAGGCTTTGACTACTTGGACTTCAGTGTGATTTTGCATTCTGGATTTCTGTGCTTCGTCCATATTCATGTTCCTTGCACTATGGAGTTGTGCTGGATGATCTAAGACTTGTTGATGTTAAGTGGCATGTGCCCACCCATTCCATTGCCCGATTTTGGTTTTCGGGCTCTCTATTGATTGATTGATTTGATGGATGGATGGATGGATGGATGGATGGATGGATGAATGGAAGGGAGAAGGGAGAAAGGGAGGGGGGGAGGAAGGGAGGGAGGGAAGGATGGACGGAGGGGGGGAGAGAGAGAGGGAGGGACGAAGGGATGGAGGGAGGGAGTGGATTAGATAGCGTGGGATTGTATGGATGAGATGGGGGATCGGTTGGAACAAAAAGATGAGAGGGGTCTGGACTTTGGACGCTGTAAGACTCGGAGCGGATGGGATTTAGGGAATAGTACGGGTCTGGGCTTGGCTTAGGATAAATGGGATTGGGATTGGGATCGGGATTGGGATATGATTGAATTGAGACTGGGTTGGTTAGGATAGCCTTGGATTTGACAGAATGGCACAGGTCAGGCAGGGCTTGGCTTAGGATCGATGGGATCGGGACGGGTTGGGATTGGGATAGGATTGAATTGAGGCTTGGTTGGATCAGGTAGGGTGGCCTTGCGGAGAAGATGAGATGGGTTGGGTGGGGGAGGGGATTGGGACTCGATGGGACTCAATGAGACTCGATGGAACTCGATGGGACTCGATGCAATGGGATATGTTTGGGCTTGGCTTGGTACAAAAGGGGAAATGGAAGGGAAGAGGAGGGGATGGCACAGAGGATGGGATGGGATTGGATTGTATTGGATTTGCATTGGGTTGAATTGGATTGGATTGGATTGGATTGGATTGGATTGGGCTGGCTTGCGTTCGGATTGAAAAACCCACTCCACAAAATGTAAGTTTCATTTTGGGTTTTACCTGAAGCGAGAAGAGTCACATGAGACCCACGAAGGTGATTTTGAAATGATTTTGTATTTCTGGGAATAAGCGTAGCAAAACACATTTTAATTGTTAAATAACTTAAAATTACTTAAATAAATAGAACTTCTGTGGATTGTCCCTCGGGACATCCGTTAAAATTGGAACGATGCATAGAAATGGTCCTGATTTGAAAAAAAGAAAAGAAAAAGAAAAAAAAAATTCCTGTGTATTTTGACGAGGTAGTTATGAAAAGATATGGATTGGGGATTGGGGATTGGTTTGGATTGGATTTGGGTTGGGATTGGGATGGGGATTAACTTGGATTGGCTTGGGATTGGGATTGGGATGGGGATGCGGATTTCCTTGGATTAGATTTGGGTTGGGTTTTGGTTTGGGATTGGGATTGGGATTGGGATTTGGATTTGGATTGGGATGGGGATTTGCTTGGATTGGATTGAGAGGTGATTGGTTTGGATTGGATTTGGATTTGGATTTGGATTGGGATGGGGATTAACTTGGGTTGGCTTGGGATTTTTGGGCTTGGGATCGGGCTTGGGATTGGGATTGGGCTTGGGATTGGGCTTGGGATTGGGCTTGGGATTGGGCTTGGGATTGGGATGGGGATGGGGATTTCCTTGGATTGGATTTGGGTTGGGATTTGGATTGAGATTTGGGTTGGGGTTGGGGTTGGGATTGGGATGGGGATTTGGTTGCATTGGAATGAGACTGGATCAGATTAAAGATTGGATGGGATGATTCGATTTGGATTTCGGATTCCGTTTATGATATGAATAGATGGTACGATGTATTCTCGCCTTGATCCAGTCTTTTCATGTGAAGCCTGGCGGAAATGATATGTTTGCGGAGTCTGCCGACTCAATTGCCCCCAGAAAGCAATCAATCACCAGAGTAGTGCGTGCAGGATCGACAAACAGTGCTGACTAAGTTGAAGTTGATTATCTGATCTTAACACAGGTATGCGCTGCGTGAGGAGAACAGGAAGGACGTTTTACAGATCTTGTACGCGTTGCTGGAGGAGGCGAAGAACGCCGATCAGCTAGCTCTAGATGAATTTGTGGAGGCTGCGCAGACGGCGGATCTCCCCACGCCGGATGTCAAGTTGATGTCAACGCCTCTCTGAGTCTTCTTCCCAAATGAGTGCGCAGCTTCGACCAGCGGAAGCGTTTCGTTTTGCTGCTTTTCCATTTTTTTTTTTTTTTTTTTCCATTGTTTTTTTTTCCCGTTTTTTCTTTTTTTTTCAGAAGTTGTTGCTGTGTTTACTCCTTCAGCGTTCAAAGGCTTTTTTGAATTGTTTTTTTTTTCTTCTATATTCACGCACAAGTCGTGCTGCTTTGCTGATGATGCATTCTTTGGGGCTGTCGTGATGTGATGCCGCGCGTGTGCGCAAAAGGTAGGTTAGCCCCAAAGTGGAAGGTTACCGATGCTTCTTTGTGCATCCGCCATCAACAGGGTCATCCTACAAAATGCCGCACTTTGGGGCTAACCTACATTTGATGCACAAGAATTGGCTTCTTTGTGCATCCGCCAGATCATCACCAGGGTCTTGTGCTGCCTGTCGATGGCGGTGGTGCCTTGTTTTGACTCCTCGTTGCAATTAAACAGTTTTTTTTTTTTTGTTTTTTTTTTTTTTTTTTTTTGTGTCCATGCTGTTGCATTTCAGTCGTTTTATGTTGATGTCATAATCAAATCAGGGTTGCGCATATGTCTTTTAGAGTACAGCGTGCGCGTTCGGTGGGAGTGGTGATGCTGTGGTATTGTGGGCAAATCATTTTATGTTGATGTCATAATTACAACCCGGGGGGGGGGGGCTCTCTGTTTCTGTGGATCACTGACTGGTTCTAAAAGGCCCTTTGCTGAGTTTTTGGGGCCTTTGGGTGGGTCCCTTTTTCTTTCTCCCCCCCCCCGGCCCCCACCCACCCTCCTTTTGGCTTCCTGCTGCATTTCATCTTTTTGGAAATGGGAACCTGAGGTCAACGAACAGTGTGCAGCTGAACGGAAAAAGAAAAAAAGAAAAAAAAAAAAAAGGAAAGGAAGGGGCCCAAAGGGGGAACCTGAGTTCAGATTGCCTGCAGCTGAAAATCTGTTGTTGGGATGGACATGGAAAGCGTGCGACCTGGGATTACCTGAATAGAAAGCCCGGCTATTATAACTGTATTTGGGGCAACTTTCAGTCTAGATACAGCGAGAATGACCGTGCGTTCTATTCGGGGTGAAGACGGTAGGTGCCCATGTTAGGCCAGTACCCCAAATACAGTGGGGCATTCTCTTTCATCCTTGCACAAGGACGATGCTAATAATCTTCTCTGTATCGTTCGTTCCAAGTTTAACAGATGTCCTGAAGGATAACGACCGGGCATCATTCTACTCCGGCGAAGCCGGCAGCTCACCGATCGATCGTACGTGGGACATGCTGCCGAGCCACTGTGAAGCTCTCTGAGAGCCAGATATGCTGCAGTACGTCAGATGTCGTCAGCCACACCGTAGTCATCGATTCTCTGTTTTTTTTTTTTGTGTGTTTAAATTCTCTGGTATCGCTCGGTATTTACACAAACCTGTCGTCATGCTGTTCGTCTTTTCTGTTTTTGTTCGTTCGTTCAAAATGAAACCTGTCATTCTATCCCTTGTTTCAGCGAACCCCGCTTTTTTCCGCGTACGACTCCATTGGTTTCTATTTTTCGCGTACTCCAACATTATTCTGCTCGTGAAAGCACGCACTCCTTCCGTGTCCAGAAAGAACCGCGTTGGTGTGCCGACAAGGAGACAATGCAGCAAGGAAAGATACCGATGGGAAGAAAACAATGGGGTAGCGGGCAGTAGTGGCAGCAGGTGTTTTTTCCGACTGTCACACACTCGTCAGGAGGAAGTAAAGCCACAAGGTACGCTATAACATGGGCAACACAGTGCATGAACACACAGAATGCAGCGAGGATGAAAGTGGACGGTCACAAACTCGTATTATGTGGAGAATTCTGCAGACTGTAGGTTAACAGCACTATCAATAGCCAGGGAGCCAGGGGACGAATATCGGTCATGACCAGGGAACGCACCCACCGTCCCACAGCCATGCGGAACACAGAAGCCCCCCGTACTACCGTAGTGTTGGAGACACTTGTAACAATGAGGCACTCAATATGATGAGACACAACCACCTCCCCAACGGCCTCGGCACTGTTCCTTTTGCTTGTCTACAAGCAACGGGCTAAAAGCTACGGTGCCCAGACCCGCTAGAGGTTCGGTGGTCAAGGGTACCACAATTTTTAAACTGTCCTCCCGGCGGCACTGCGGACTTCAGGCCCGGGGAAACACAACTGTTGGTTTGTCAAAACAGGTCAGAATGGAGAGGTGATTTAAAGGTGTTCCAATTGGGCACTGAAGAGAGCACAGGGAAAGCAGAGATGGGTGTGTGTGGGGT